GCTGGCACGGTAGAAAGAGCAGCAGGGTACAGAGCACTGAGTTCCAGACTTGCTTGCTGTGTGAGCATGGACAGTTTGCCCACGATCCCTTGCCTGCTCTGGGCTTGGGGTCCTGGTCTGCACTGTGACATGTTCCCTCCAGAGCAATGGCATTCCACTCGGACGGCGTGTGGTTCTGTGACTCTGTCCCACCGGAAAAACTAGATTTGATACTTTCCTAAGGGATAGTTCCCAGCTCGGCAAATCACTTGCCATGGGAGTTCTTCCCCCCAGAAATTGACCTTGAGCCAGGAGGCTGCTGGGAAATCCCCTGGCCACTCCAAGATCCCAAGAACCAACCACAATTCAGTCCCTGGAGTCTCCAGTGGAGCTTTCTCTGGACTCAGCCAGGCTGGGAGTTGGTGAGACACAGGCTCAAAGAGCAAAGACACATGTCGGGGCCCATAGTCTCCCCCACTGCCCCCAGCACTCTGCCCACTGCCCCTTGGGGGCACCATGTCCTGGCAGGAGACTGGCCCCACAGCCCCAAGCTGTTTGTCCAGCTGTTCTCGCATCCCCAGGCTACAAGGCTCTTATATACCTTGGCGTGGAGAATGTTGTCAGGCATGTGGACACCCACCGGGTCCCCGGCCAGAACCAACACTGGGTGGGAGGGAGGAGGCTGGGCTCAGGCACAGCCCTCTCTAGCCCCCCCCCCTTTTCTTCTGCCGTGTAAAATCAGATAATCTCCTGAACTCTTTTAGCTGGGCAATCTACACCTCTAGAGCAGCAACTAGGAACTCAGCTCTGAAGTCAGAATGGGTTTGAACCAGTCTAAGAACTCATGTATCCCAAGGTCCCACTGGATGATAAATACCCTCCCAACTTAATTCATAAAAGTGCAGTTGTATGGACCGCACGATGATGACATGATATCCTGACTTCTAACAAGAGAAGTCAGACATTGAAATGCCCCCCACAACAAGAAGACTGGCAAATTTCTGCCCAGAAAAACTGAGAAGCATCCCTTGCCCTCATGATCTTTGGCATAAACTAATTTGTATCTGTCTGCAATACTCATAAATCTATGGAGCCTGTACCCTCCATCATGCTTAGACATAAGCCAACACAGCTGACAAGTACAGCAGAGAGACAGTCAAAAAGAACCAGAGTACAGGCACAGGCCTTTGGCACAGCAGTTAAGACACTGTCTGGATTGCCCACATCACATACTGGAATGCCTGGGTTCAAATCTTAGCTCCCTTTCCAACTCCAGCTTCCTGCTAATGTGTGGCCTTAGAGGCAACAGGTGGTGGCCCAAGTACAAGGGCTCCTGCCACCCACGTGAGAGACCCAGATGAAGTTCCGGGCTCCTGGCTTCACCATGACCCAGACCTGGCTGTTGCAGGCATTTAAGGAGTAAACCAGCGAATGGGATATCTCTCTATCTATCTGTTTATCTATCTCAAATAAATAATAAAAATTTTTTTTTTTCAAAAAAGAACCGGATTACAAAGGCCCCAAATGGAAACACATCATAAAGGCAAAGAAAAGTCAATTATGGTAAGCCAAGTGCAACAACCAAGTTCAAGCATTGTTGAGAAGAGTGTCAGGCGGGACACAAGGTCCCAATTTGGCCACCCTAATTGCAAAAGTAGCTCAATAAGCACAGCGGGAAAAGAGCTGCAGGACATTGGAGGCTGGGCTACTGTGCTGTTCTCAAGCCGAGAGAGGAAGGGTGGAGGGGAAAATTTCTCCTCCTCACCTTGCAAAACATTTTCCCCACTCAAACAAGGGTGGGGATTCTCAGAAATATTTTGGTAGGGATTGTCTGTGTGGCTGGCACTTCCTTGGCCAAGCAGGTCCAGGATTGATCACTGTACACATAGCTCAGAAATGTTTGATGTCTCAGCACTGTAGATTAGCATTGTTGACATTTGGGGTCAGGATAATTCTTGATTGTGAAGGGCTGTCTCAGGCACTGTAGGATGGCGTCCCTGGCTTCTACCCACTGGGAGCCAGTAGCATCACCACCGCCAGTTGTGGCAATCAAAACTGTCTTCTCGGGGCTGGCGCCCTGGCACAGGTTAATCCTCCGCCTGCGGCGCCAGCATCCCATATGGGCGCCGTTCTAGTCCCAACTGCTCCTCTTCCAATCCAGCTCTCTGCTGTGGCCTGGGAAAGCAGTAGAAGATGGCCAAGTCCTTGGGCCCCTGCACCCACATGGGAGACCAGGAAGAAGCTCCTGGCTCCTGCCTCCGGATTGGCATAGCTCTGGCTGTTGCAGCCATTTGGGGACTGAACCAACGGAAGGAAGACCTTTCTCTCTGTCTCTCCCTCTCACTGTCTGTAATTCTTTTTTTTATAGGATTTTTTTTTTTTTTGACAGGCGAGGACCCCGGCCGTGCAGAGACAGAAAAGAAAGGTCTTCCTTTACCGTTGGTTCACCCTCCAATGGCTGCTGCGGCCAGCACACTGCAGCCGGCACACCGCGCTGATCCGAAGCCAGGAGCCAGGTGCTTCTCCTGGTGTCCCATGCGGGTGCAGGGCCCAAGCACTTGGGCCATACTCCACTGCCCTCCTGGGCCACAGCAGAGAGCTGGCCTGGAAGAGGAGCAACCGGGACAGAATCTGGCGCCCCGACCGGGACTAGAACCCAGTGTGCCGGCACCGCAGGTGGAGGATTAGCCTACTGAGCCGCGGCGCCGGCCTCACTGTCTGTAATTCTACCTCTCAAATAAATAAATAAAAATCTTTTAAAAAATTTGTCTTCTGACATTGCCGAATGTCCCCTAAGATGGGGCAGAGCAAAATCAGCCCCAGTGGAGAATCACTGTTCTTAGGGTAAGATGTACATAGGCATCTTTTCTCTCGAAAATCAATGTGATCATACCATAAACAAATAAGAGCTTGCAATCCCTGAGCCGCAGGACCAGACTTCTGTAAGCTCTCTGGCCCTCATGGAAGTCAATGAGGTGAGCATGACTCCAAGCTTCTTCTCTCCAATGAGGGCAGAAGAGTTCAGGGGCTGGCCCCTGGTTACACAGTCCCTAAGTTGTGGCGTGAGGACTTGGATCTGGTAGGCGGACTCCAGAGTCCATGTTTTATGTAATATTCACTGTACAAAACAAAAAATAAGGAGCTGTGCCTTGTTCTCTTGGCATCCCCAAGCCACAATCCAACCAACTGGCACCCCGGGAAAATCCAGCCCATCAGAGATGGACCCTGCCTTGATCATGAGTCAACAGACTTGGGTGCCAAAAAGTGTTGGAGGCATTCAAGTGATTTTCTTAGGGTTGTGGCTCATTCTGTTTGTTGTTTAGAAAAATACTATGGACAGAGGGCAATCTAACAAAGGAAAACATCTGAGTAAGAGTAAGCAAGAGGAATGCTGAGACCCTGCAAGAATCAGCCCAAATCATGTAGGAGGACGGCTTCCATCCCAGTCTTTTGAGGGCAGCCCTGGCCTCTACTGTGTCTTCCAGCTGAACAAAGCTGTGGTGCTTATAAGATGTGAGCTGTGGGGTGGGTTTTGTGATACCGTAGGTTGAGCTGCCATTTGGGAAGCCTGCATCATGTATCAGAGTGCCAGCTCCTCCACTTCCCATTGAGCTTTCTGCTAATGCAGTTGGGAGGGCAGTAGATGATAGCCCAAGTACTTGGGTCCCTGACACCCACATAGGAGACCTAATAGAGATCCTGGCTCCTGGCTTCAGCCTGGCCCAGCTTCAGCCATTGCAGCCATTTGAGAAGTGAACCAGTGGATAGATCTCTATCCACCTCCACCCTCGTTCTGCGTCACTCTGCCTTTAAAAATTTTTTTTAGTTGTGAACTTTCCAGGGCTGATGTTTGTGGTGTAGTAGGTTAAGCCTCCACCTATGATGCCAGTATCCCATATGGGCACCTGTTCAAGACATAGCTGCTCCACTTCCAATCCAGCTAATGCACCTGGAAAAGCAACAGAAAATGGCCCAAGCACTTGAGCTCCTGCATCCAAGTTGGAGATTCAGAAGAGGCACTGGCCTCCTGGCTTTGGCCTGTCCCAGCCCGGGCCATTACAATCATATGGAAAGTAAACCCATGGATGGAAGATTCTCTCTCTCTCTCTCTCTCCTCTCTCTCTCTCTCTCCCCCTTCTCTCTCTGTAACTCTGCCTTTCAAGTAAATAAAAAATAAATCTAAAAAATGAAAAAAAAAAGGTTGTGAACTTTCCTCAGATGGTCAGAGTGGAACTGCCAAGCTGAGCCCCTAAGAACACAGGATGCTTAGTCAGATTTGGATTTTGTATCAATGAACAAGATTTCAATGTAAGCATGTTCCGTGCAAAATTAGAGACATACTCGTACCTCAAAATCACCCACTGATCTGAAGTTCAGAGTTAACTGGACCTCCTATGTTTTCTCTGGCAAGTCTTCCCTATGAGACTGTTTGGATTCTGTCCACTAAGGACAGAAACCCCTCAAGAGGACACCACACTTCCCAGAGCCCAGGGTCCTCATTAAAAGGAAGAAAATGAGGTCCTGCTTGCCCCCGCCAACCCTCAGATGCCCAGAGGGACCGCCCAGGTCCCCTCTCTCCACTCCCACTTCCGCTCACCCTCTCCTGCCCTTTATCCCCACTTGGAGAAATTCCACTGACCCAAGGAGCAGTTGAGGGTTAATCCCTCTGCTACTAAGTCACACTTTAACTCATTCTCTGCAGACCAAGAATTAAAAACTGCCAGGTAAGGGTCAAGGCTACAGCAGACCCTGAAGGCTGAGTGGTCCCGACCCCCAACGCAAGGCAAAGCTGCAAGGGAAAGGGAGGGATAGAACAGGGAGCCGAGGGGAGAAGGAGGGGCAGCGGCCAGGCTGCAGTCCCCCCACAGAGCCGGCTCAGATTCAGCTCCAGAAGCAACTCAGCTGCAGAGGAAGCAGCAGCCCCAGTCCTCAGGCAAACGACAGCAGGAAGACAGAGGGACAGACAGAGATCCTGGGACTGGAGGTGTTCAGCCCCCAGCCACTCGGCCAGGCCTGGCCCCATGGCCTTCAATGACCTCCTGAAGCAGGTGGGGGGCGTCGGCCGCTTCCAGCGGATCCAGGTCACCCTGGTGGTGCTCCCCCTGCTCCTGATGGCCTCCCACAACACCCTGCAGAACTTCACCGCCGCCATCCCCCCCCACCACTGCCGCCCGCCTGCCCATGCCAACCTCAGCAAGGATGGGGGGCTGCAGGCCTGGCTGCCCCAGGACACACAGGGGCGGCCCAAGTCCTGCCTCCGCTTCACCTCCCCCCAGGAGAGACCTCCCTTTCTCAACGGCACAGAAGCCAATGGCACAGGGACCACAGAGCCCTGCACCGATGGCTGGATCTACGACAACAGCACCTTCCCTTCCACCATCGTGACCGAGGTGAGGGGTTTTTTTTATTTTTATTTTGTTTATTTGAGAAAGAGACAGACAGATAGATAGACATAGCTCCCATCTGCAGGTTCACTCCTTAAATGCCCACGGTGCCTGGCCTGGGCCAAGCTGAAGCCTGGAGACAGGAACTCAATCCAGGTCTCCCATGTAGGAGGCAGGGACCCCACTACTTGAGCCATCACCTGTTGCCTCCCAATGTGTACATTAGCAGGAAGCTGGACTCAGGAGTGAAGCCAGGACTCGAACCCAGGCATGCTGACATGGGTGTAGGTGTCCCGATGTGGTGTCTTAACCGATAGGCCAAATGTCCCTGGGGCTCCCTCACTTCATGTGGCATCCAAACTCTGCCTTCCCCGGGAGACAGCTACACACACACACACACACCCCACACACACTCACATACTATCCCACAAGTACAGCACACACCACACACATACAGTCTGTCTCAAATCCTCCAGGGGCCAAGATGGGGAGAGGAAGAAAAGTATTCATGATGCAGACTTTGTGTTGGGGGTTGGGGGGGGGGGTGGAAAGAAAGTTGATGTGAGAGCTGCAGAGTCTTTAAAAGAAAAAAAGAAAGAAAAAAAAAAGCTCCCAGCTCCAGAACCAGCCAGGGAGGAAACAGCAAAGGGCAGTGTCACAGGCAGAGGTGGGCACAGACTGCCGGAGGGCGGAGGGCTCCCTGCGCCTGGCTCGGCTCGCCTGACCCTCCCCCTCCCCCCACAGTGGGACCTCGTGTGCTCTCACAGGGCCTTACGCCAGCTGGGCCAGTCCTTGTACATGGCAGGGGTGCTGATTGGAGCCATGGTGTTCGGCTACCTGGCAGACAGGTCAGTCTTGGGGCTAGGCAGGGATTGTGGGGGGTCCCCTGCACTGGGATCGGAGTGGGGGGGGTGTCCTGGAGGGAGCCAGGGCTGGTTTGAGGACTTGTGGCCCCAGCCCCATAACGCTCCACAATTCCTCCATCGACCCCTTACCCACAAGCGTAAGGCATCACCCAGGGCAGGCACAGCTCTGATGGCCCAGCCTGCACCTCCCCCTCCCCCACCGTCCCACAGCCCTTGGCCCTGCTGCAGGTCTTCCTTCCCCTAACAGGCTGGGCCGCCGCAAGGTGTTGATCCTGAACTACCTGCAGACGGCCGTGTCAGGGACCTGCGCAGCCTTCTCGCCCAACTTCACCGTCTACTGCACCTTCCGGCTCCTCTCGGGCATGTCCCTGGCCGGCATCGCCCTCAACTGCATGACACTGAGTGAGAGATGCAGCTCAGCGGCCCGCTCCCCTTCTCACCACAAGCCCCGCCCCCTCCCAGCCTCCTGGCCCAGCCCACCCCTCCCCAGCCTGCCTGCCTTACAGCCCGTCCCTTGGCTCTGCCCTTGGCTCTGCCCTTCCAGCCAGTACAGCAACCTTCTGCTCAGGCTCATGCCACCCTGTCCCCTCATTTAAAAGCGAGATTGCGAACTCCACTGTGAGAGTCTCCAGGTCACGCAGGTGACTGAAGCAGGGAGGGGTGAGGACTGTACCCAAAGGACCCAGAGACACACAGATACTGCGCTGCCTCAACCGGGGGTCCCAGGGTTGTCACATTTTTTTCCCTTCCCTCTTCGATCAATGTAAAATATCCTACTTTGAAAATGTTTTGATATTTCCTTTTTTATTAATTTATCTATTTATTTGAAAGGCAGAGTTACAGAGATGGAGAAGCAGAGAGAGAGAGAGAGAGAGAGAGAGGTCTTTCATCTGCTGGTTCACTTCCCAAATGGTCACAATGGCCAGAGCTGGGCTGATCTGGAGCCAGGAGCCAGGAGCTTTTTCTGGGTCTCCTAAGTGGGTGCAGGGTTCCAAGGACTTGGGCCATCTTCTGCTGCTTTCCAAGGCACATTAGCAGGGAGCTGGATGGAAAGTGGAGTAGCCAGGACTCAAACTGGTCCTATATGGGCTACTGGCACTGCAGATGACTTTTACCCGCTACTCCACAATGCCAGCCCCAGATGTTTTGATATTTCTAAACATGGGGTGAGCCAGTAGCATGGAAAAAACACATTTTTGGATTGAGTATGGTCTGTCCATGGGCCATCCAAGTGCATCCCTGAGATACCCGGTTCCTCCCATTTCTCAGATGAGGAACCTGAGGTTGGGGAGAAAGGAAAGGATTGATGTCAGGTCATCCCTCAAGACCCAGAAAGGAGTCCAAGGATCTGGTATTCTCCAAACTAAAGGAGACCTGAGACTGGGCTGCAGCCAGGACAGGATGCCCAAGAAACCCAGCCCCAAAGTCCAGTCTAAGAATCCAAGTCCCTGCCCCAGGAGCTGAACCAGGACCCCACCAGGAAGGAAGCCCCTCAGGTCGCAGCAGAGGGGAGGTGCACATGGATGTTTCCTCTAAGCTGCTTTGGTCACCAAGGGTGGAATCCAGCCCTGTGCTAAGAAAGACCAGAGCAATGGTCACTGCAGAGCAGCCGGAGATACTCTTAAGGGGAAGGGGACTCCAGCCAGAACAGCAGATGGGAAGAAGACCCAGCAGGAGTGTAGAAGGGACACATTCCTGGGGCGATTCTGAACGCTCTCCCATCACTGCCTCCCCCCAGACTGCCCCTCCCCCAGCCTGGCTTGCTGCATCTTCCACAGGGCTGGGGGGTGAGCCAAGGTCTGGAGGGAGGAGGGGTCTCCAGCAGCCCAGCCGCGCCATCAGCTGCACCACCTCCCCACCCTCCTTGCAGACGTGGAGTGGATGCCCATCCACACGCGGGCCTACGTGGGTACCTTGGCTGGCTACGTCTACAGCACGGGACAGTTCCTCCTGGCTGGTGTGGCCTACGCTGTGCCTCACTGGCGCTACCTGCAGCTGTTGGTCTCCGTGCCTTTTTTCGCCTTCTTTGTCTATTCCTGGTATGTGGGGCCCAGGGTGAGAGGCAGTGTCACAGGGAGGTTGCAAAGGACAGGATTTCTCCCAGGGCACACACACACCCCATCCCACAGAACTACAGAAGGTCAAGCCCAGTCCACAGCCTCAGCGGAACAGATGGGGAAACCGAGGCTGTGGGGAGGCTTCTGCCAGGGTGTCCAGTCCTCTGACTTCCTTCGTACTGCAGACTACCTGCCCGGCTCCCCTACTCAACACCCCAGAGCTGAGCCTCTGAGTTGAGGAATGAGTGGACCGCCAAGCTGGGCACCGCCTTGTGGTCCTGCAGAGTGCAATTTGACAAGCCCACTGCCCTCCCCCTGGAAAGCCCAGCCCCTGCCCCAGGCCTGCTGACTGCAAGCGAGGCCATTCGTGCCTATCTCCACCCCACCCCTGCTTCCAGGTTCTTCATTGAATCTGCGCGCTGGTACTCCACCTCTGGGAGACTGGACCTCACCCTGAAGGCCTTGCAGAAAGTGGCCCGGATCAATGGGAAGCAGGAAGAGGGGGCCAAGTTGAGTATGGAGGTGAGACCCCCCACAAGACCTCCTGTGACACCCCACCAGGACTCCACCCCCAAACCCCTGTCCCAGGAAACAGGAGGCCTCTCTGAATTAGGGTTAGGCTGGGAGGAGCCAGATCCTGACCCCTGCCTGTCCCACAGGTGCTCCGGACGAATCTGCAGAAGGAACTGACAATGAGCAAAGGCCAGGCCTCAGCCATGGAGTTGCTGCGCTGCCCTGCCCTCCGCCACCTCTTCCTCTGCCTCTCCTTGCTGTGGTAGGCCTAGGAGACTGACAGACGGGCAGGCAGGCAGACCAAGAGACAAAAGGCTGGCTGGGGAGCGGGTGGAGGCAAAGGGTGAAAGAGAGGGACGAGCCTTGAGCAGAAGTGCGGTGAGGGGTACTGATCCTATCTCAGGCCCTGCAGCCTTGGGCACCAGTGGACATCAGCTGCCCCATCTCCTCCTTTCACTGACAGCCTCCAGAGTCAACAGGCTTATACCCTGAAGACAGAGACCTGTCTGGCCTGCAAAGCATTTGGAGGATTTTCAGGCTTGGGGTGCCTTCCAGAAACACAGGCACAGGCAACAAGATGACCAAACCTCAACTCCCTAAGTACACTTGGCCTGTGGCTGGTATAACCCAAACATTCCACTCACCCTGTGCAATATTCCCCACTGTCGTCTCGTGCACCACGCTCCTTCCACCGCCACAGCAACCCCATGACCGTAAGAGGTGTGCTCAGCAGGAGCAAGCTGGGCAACACGTTCTATGCCTCCAGTCTGGGGTTCTCTCTCTCAGGTGTGGGTGCTATCTAGTCCCTCGAGCTTCCTTGTGTGGGCTTGTGACATCTTAGGAAGCACAACATTCATCCCAGAACCATGGACAGGTCCCAGGAAGCCCTTGCAGCCCCCAACAGCTTGGCCCTCAAGACAAGGCTTGGGTGTCCACCTGCCCTCCCTGAGTCTGGCATCAACAGATAAGACTGAAACCAGGGGGCTGGTGCTGTGGTGCCCCATGGTTAGGTTTAGGGCCCCAGCCTGCAGCGCCAGCATCCCATATGGGCACCAGTTCAAGTCCTGGCTGTTCCACTTCCCATCCAGTTCCCTGCTAATGCACCTGGAAAGGCAGCAGAAATTGGTCCCAGTCCTTGGGCCCCTGCACCCACATGGGAGACCTGGGGGAAGCTCCTAGCTTCTGGCTTTGGATCAGCTCAGCTCCAGCCATTGCAGCCACTGCAGCCATTTGGGTAGTGAACCATTGGATGAAGGACCTCTCTCTCTCTCTCTCTCTCTCTTTCTCTCTTTCTCTCTTTCTCTCTCTCTCTCCCTCTCTGTCTTTCAAATAAATTAAATAAATTTCTAAAATAAATAAATAAAAGCATGTAAATCCCACATAGCCACTAAATGAAAATCCCCTAGAACATTAGGGACTCTATTTATTGGAAGATTGGAAAATTAAACTGTGCAATTTAAATGTGTAGTCAAATGCCTGAAGAAACATTAGCCAAGGGAAATTCCTGCTCCTTAAGCAAGGTACCCAATGTAGCTTCCTTAAGCCTCCCTAACACTCTACATCCCTCTCCCCCTGCCCCTTCCCCCTAGGTTTGCCACCAGCTTTGCCTACTACGGGTTGGTCATGGACCTGCAGGGCTTTGGGGTCAGCATCTACCTAATCCAAGTGATTTTTGGCGCCGTGGACCTGCCTGCCAAGCTTGTGTGCTTCCTCGTCATCAACTCCCTGGGTCGCCGGCCCGCCCAGATGGCCTCGCTGCTGCTGGCCGGCATCTGCATTCTGGTGAACGGGGTGATACCCCGGGGTGAGCACCCATGTGCACCTGCGCCCCTCCCCCTCAGCTCCATTTTCAGCTATTACCCAACATCTCAGAAGGGAGGGAAAGAGGGAGACCCACTCCTCCAAGCCCCCACTCCCAGGCTCCTGCTGTCCCCTCCTTTCTAGACCAGTCCATCGTCCGGACCTCCCTCGCTGTTCTGGGAAAGGGTTGTCTGGCCTCCTCCTTCAACTGCATCTTCCTGTACACCGGGGAGCTGTACCCTACGATGATCCGGTGAGTGGGAGCTAAGGGTGGGGCTCAGACCCACCCTTCCAGCCCAGCCCAAAGACTCCCTCCTCAAATTCATCACTGCAAGGCATCCAGTAGCCACTCAACACACTCCACAAGGCCTAGCTAGCACAGGTGTGGCTGTCCGCTAAGCCTTTAGCTTCCCCTACAAGAAAACTTCAAAAAGAGCCACCAATTGGGCAGTCCAGGAAACACAACTCAGAGGCAACAGATGCACAAGTTAGAAGCTACCACCAAACATAACTTCTCCCTCTAAAGCAAGTGGAGCAAACCAAAGACTCCCAGCATGCAGGTAGAATAATAGCCCAGCAGTGTACGCAAACATGGCATTGGTGGTGCCAAGCTGGGGGGGGGGGGGGGCACCATACAAAGAAACAAGAAAGAACATTTAAAACTGAGATCAAAATTCACATCGGAAATTAAAGAAATGTAGGGCTTCTCTCAGCTGCTTGGAATGAGAACCCTGAGGGGCCCTGTGACCCTGTGAGACTTCAGGAGAGAGAACAAGAGAATAAAGCACTTACTATGTGCCTGGAACCATATGAAACCTTTCACAAACACCAACCCACTCAAGCCTTGATAGCATGTCAATAGGGAACTTCTATCATTATTCCCACCTAACACACGTGACAACGGAGGCACACCGAGGTTAAGTGACTTTTCCATGACTTTTCCAAGATCACACAGCTAGTGGTAAGAGATGACCTTTACCTTTGAATACCAAGTAGTTTGTCTTCTGAGTCAATGTTTTTAACCCCTTCCCTCATAGGGAATGTTCCTAACGTACACTTAGCATGTTCTTAGCATGGACTCTGGGGATCCTAATGCAAGAGGCTTATGTGGAGCTGGGGCAACTGTGGTTCAGAACTCCTCCAGGTGATTTGAGAACTATTGGTCTAATTCAACCGCCTTATTTGACAGCCAAGAAAACTGAGGCCCAGAGAGAGAAAGAGGCTTTGCCCAAGACCACACAGCAAGTTAAGGGCAGAGACAAATTCAAACTCAGAACCCTCATTCTCCGCCCAGAGCCCTTCCCAACTTCCCTTTTTGAAAAACACCAAAACAAATGCCAGATGGGTTTTTTCGAAGCAAATGGCGGGGGGACACCAGGGGATGTCCCTCCTCCCAGTGGGGCCAGCACTCAGCATTCAAGCCGGAATTCTAACCAACACCACCCTCCATGAGCCCACAGGCAGACGGGCTTGGGTATGGGCAGCACCATGGCTCGAGTGGGCAGCATCGTGAGCCCACTGGTGAGCATGACCTCCGAGCTCTACCCCTCCCTGCCTCTCTTCATCTACGGCGCTGTCCCTGTGGCTGCCAGCGCTGCCACTGCCCTCCTGCCAGAGACCCTGGGACAGCCTCTACCGGACACAGTGCAGGACCTGGAGAGCAGGTAGGACTCCCTGTAGAGAGAAGCAGGGACCTACCCAGGTCACACACCCAGGGTGGACTGGTGTTGAGACACAAGCCCAGACCTTTGCCTTTTGTCCCCAGTTAGCTGTGATTCTTCCTGGGGCCCACAGACATTCTGGGCAGATAGCAGGTGGCTGGGGACAGCAGAGTGGCAGTCCCTGGGAAGGCCCTGACTTCCAGCCAAGGCCTGGGGCCTACATACTCAAAGTATCACTGTTCTTCTCCCCTGCTCCCCAGGAGGAGAGGGAAACCAAGGCGACAGCAGCAGGAGCAACAGAAGCAGATGGTCCCTCTCCAGGCCTCGGTACAAGAGAAGAATGGACTCTGAAGACTGCAGAGGGGCCCCTCCTAGCCCCAAAGGGAGTGAGGGTCCTGCAGGCACCTGGCCACCCACTCAAGGAGCAGAAGCTAGGGGGTGGAGGCCCCAGTGTGGGGCTATGGCTCAGGAAGTGCCCCGCAAGGGTTCACCCTCCCCAAACAGACCCCACCAAGGCCATATCATTAAATGGTCTGACTGTGAACAGCGTCTCGTCATGCAGTTCCTTCCCCACCCTCCAGCCCTGTTCTAGATGAATAGAAAAGACCGATCTCAGCCCCCTCTCCACCCTCTTTCCCTGCCTTCTCCTTCCTTGAGCTATTTGAACAACCTTTCTGTGAGTTGTAAGTAAATACCAGATGCCCCGCTCCTTCTGCGTACATTAACTCCCTCTGTTCTCTCTGGAGACTTCTAAGGGTACGGACTACTGTTATTCCCCATTTTACAGATCGGGAAATCAAGGCACACAGGAGGAGAGTTAGGTAAATTGCCCAAGTTCACACACAGTAAATTGTGGAGTCTGGGTTAGAATCCAGCCTGGCAGGGCCGGCACTGTGGCACAGCGGATTAACACCCTGGCCTGAAGCACTGGCATCCCATATGGGCGCCAGTTTGAGACCCAGCTGCTCCACTTCCTATCCAGCTCTCTGCTATGGCCTGGGAAAGCAGTGGAATATGGGCCAAGTCCTTGGGCCCCTGCACCCACGTGGGAGTCACGGAGGAAGCTCCTGGCTCCTGGCTTCAGATCGGCACAGATCTGGCTGTTGCAGCCAATTGGGGAATGAGCCATCGGATGGAAGATCTCTCTCTCTCTCTCTGTCTCTCCTCTCCCTGTGTAACTCTGACTTTCAAATAAATAAATAAATCTTAAAAAAAAAAAAAAAAAAGAATCCAGCCTGGCGCCAGAATGTGTGTGCCAGGTGTGCAGAAGCAGGGCTAGTGTCCCACCTTCCAGTCCTGTGTCCCTGCTCCAGGCCAGGGACACCCTTTCAGGTGCCCCTTCAGGTTCAGCCATGGGGGCAGTGCTGGCTGAGCAGTCACAGCAGGGGTGGGGCCGGTGGCCCTCAGCCGTCTCATGGGTCCACAGTGCCCTGGAGGTTCCTGGGGAGCACCGGAGTGCCAGCTCCACGGGAGAACCCCAAGGCTCCAGGTGCGGCTCTAGGCGAGATGGATGACGGTGGGGTCAGCTCTGCCCCAGCTGGGCCTCTCAGGAAGTGGTCCTGCCTGCCCTCTTATGGACTCTCTTCCAAGGCCCGTGGTTTTTCCAGGGCTCTCCAGCCCACCTCCCCTCTCCAGACTGCCCTGTCTCATTCTGAGTCCTAGGGTCCCACCTGGAAGGCAGTGTGTGCAGCTTGAGGGATGTGGGCTTTTCCTGGGGGGCAAGGGGCTGAGGGTGGGCAGCAGGGAGAAGGTTTGCAGGCTGTGTGCCAGTGGACAAGCACAGCTGAGCCACCCACTCACAGCAGAGCACACAGGCCCCTCAGCCTGCCGCCTGCAAGATCTGCGAGACCAGTGAAAGGCCTTACCCCTGCCCCAGAACCCTGCCAGCAACTCCAACATGCTCTGACTCCTCCTGTGAGCCCTTCATCTCCAAGCTCACAGCGTTCAGACCTGCACCGGTCTCAACACGGCTGCCCGGAGCCAGACCCAGGCTGTCCTCATGACTCCCCCATGGGTACTGTTCCCAGGGGCTGACTCAGCTCAAAATCCGTTCCCCAGCTCCCAGCCGGGGACTTCCTCCTTAACCAAATAGAACCCTACCTTCCTCCCACTTTCCAATCCCCGGTTGGTCATTTGTGACTCTGTCTCACCAGAATCTCCCCTCCAGAACATGGGCTCTGTGCCCATCCTCTGACCTTGACCCTGAACCTGCTACGATTTTGTCATGCCGTGCCCCAGTGACCTCAACTGCTATCCTCAGTGCTACCTGCAGTCAGCTTGGCAGGGCCTTCGTGGCCACCCTGTTTCCTGGCCAGGGTGGCACACTCAGGAGGAGGATCCTCAACTGCCTGTCCCTGAGAGAGTGCTCAGCAGAAGCGACCTTCCCAGGGCTCCACCTGTCAGCCCAGGCTTCACCTCCCTTGGATTCTTCCTTCCCCCTTCCCAAGAGTTTACACAGACCCTTGATGGCAGATGCCAACCAGTTACACTTTTGCACCATGCAGTAGGCTGAACAGTGGCCCCAAAGATGTTTCCTGCAACCATGTGGGAAACCTGGATTGATTTCTGGCTACTAGCTCTGGCCACCCCATCATTGTAGGCATTTGGGGTATGAACAAGCAAATGCAAGCGTTCTTTGTCTGTCTTTCTCTGTCTCTCAAATTAAAAAGATGTTTTAATAATAAATGTATTTAACTCTCTACACTTTGATCCATTGTAAGTTGGTTTTTCTGTGATTTGCAAAAACATCATGTAATTTTTGTAACTTTATTGAGCTATAACAGACAGCTGCTCATACATTTTTAACTTATTTGTTTGTTTTACTTGAAAAGCAGAGACAAACAGACAAAGATTTCCCATCCACTAGTTTTCTCCCCAAATGCTTACAACAACTGGGGTTGGGCCAGGCCAAAGCTAAGACCCAGGAATTCAACCCAGGTCTCCCACACGGGTGGCAGAAGCCCAGCTATTGAGCCATCACCTGCTGCCCTCCAGAGTGTGCATTCGCAGGATGCCAGAATCGGAAGTGAAGCCAGGATGTAATCCCAAGCACTCAGGTATGGAATGTGGACAGCCCAAACAGTATCTTAACCACTCTGCCACATATAAAAGTATATAAATGATGAGTTTTGACAGATGCGTATGTCCATGAGGCCAACCCAATCCAGACAAAAAATGTATCCATCACCACCAAAACGCTTCCTCAGGCCCCTTCTTTGTGTGGACTTGAACTTCCACTTCCCTTGAGCAAATATCCAGCTATGGAATGGCTGAGTAGTACATAAGGTGCATGTTTAACTTCTGAAAAAACAGACAATCCATTTCCGTGGTGTGTGGGGAGCAATTCGGACTAGACTAAGTTACTGGAATTAGGACTTATTCTGTGCATCTGCTCCATTATGTCGCTCCTCCTCTTCGTGGAGGAACGACACTAAGCCCTGCCTAGGCTTCATATCCGAGTCACGGCACCATTATTTCGCTCCCCCTCTTCGTGGAGGAACGACACAGGACCCTGCGCTGTTCTTTCATCTGCTCGGCCCTCCCCGGGTTTGCTGCCGGCTCTTCCCGGGTTGGCTACTATCCCTTCCACCTCCGTGGAAGGGCAGTTCCCCCTGGCCACATTCCCCACTTCCGCAGGGGAGCGGCACACCGCCGGCTGGCTTTCTCGGGGGCTGCACAGGTGTTCCCCTTAGATGTTCCTGGTGCATGCCGTCTCTCTCCTCCTTTATAGTCCTCCTCCGCCAATCCTAACTCGGCTGCCCACACGCCGAGTACGCTGCTCTCCTCCAATCAGGAGCAAGTCCTACAGTTTATTGGTTGAACTGGAGGCAGCTGTGCGGAAGCTGTTTACTTCTCTCCCAGCGCCATATTGTGGGAGAGCAGATGCATAGAATAAGTCTTAATTCCAGTAACTCAGTCCAGTCCGGGCTGCTCCCCACAGTGGTGGATGTCATACTTTACATTTCCACCAATGGTGCATGAGGCCCAGTTGTTCCACATCTTTGCCAGCACTTGGCATGATGGGTACTTTTAATTTTAGTAATTCCAGTGAGTGGGTACTGGTATCTGACTTTAGTTTTAGTTTACATTGTCCTAATGACTAATGAGGTCAAGCAGTTCTTCATGTGCTTGTTTACATCTGGACCTCCTCTTTGGCAGTGTTGTGCAAACATTTTGCACATCTTTAACTTTTTTATTTATTTATTCATCATCTTATTTGAAAGGGAAAGAAATACAGTGGGAGAGATCTTCAAATAGCTGGCTCATTCCCCAAATGCCTACAACAGCCAGGGCTGTCTGTATTATCTCTTCCTTAAATGTCTGTCAGGAGTCTGGTGTTGTGGTACAGTGGGCTAAGCCACCACTCACAACACCAGCATCCTGTGTCAGAGCGCTGGTTCAAGTCTTGGTAGCTCTACTTCCAGTCCAACTCCCCATTAATGCACTTGGGAAAGCAGCAGAAGATGGTCCAAGTAGTATCTGGGTCTTGGGCCTTGCAATTCACATGTGGGAGACCTAGATGGAGTTCCAAGCTCCTGGCTTTGGACTGGCACAGTCCTCAGAAGTTGCAGCCATTTGGGGAGGGAATCAGCAAGTGGAAGATCTCTCTCTCTCTCTCTCTCTCTCTCTCTCGGGGGTGAGGGGCTCTGGTTTTAAATAAATAAAATAAATCTTTCTCTAGAAAACTTTGTCAGAAAATAGCCAGTTAGTTTATCGGAGCCTGGAAACTTCTTTTTGAGTTAGTTTTTAAGCACAAATTTAATTCATTCAACACCTCTCGCAGTGCAAATCTGCTGTTGAATTCTTTCAACTTTAACACTGGTGAAAAAGTCCTTCTGTCATCAATTTTGAAAGATATTTTTGCTGGTATAGAGTCGTAAGCTGACGAGTGTTCTTTCATCACTTCTAAGCTCTGTGAAGGTAGAAGCAGAGAAGCTGACAATTTTTCTCACTACTGAAGCAATTGTTTGGAGTTCTGTACCCAAAGCTCTGAGTACTGTAGGGTTGTTTTGTCTTTTCCACTGTGGCCAGTGGGAGGATAAACTGTTCCTGGCCTTGTGAGAGTTCTATGGATTGTTCTGTTGCTCTTTTGTGGAGTTCTTTCCCCAAATGCATGCCCCAGCCAACACTCAGCTGAAGACTTTGATGAAACTCCCTGCAGATCTCCAGTGCTCCATGTACTCTCGCCTCCACAGTCCTCTGCCTACAAACTCTTGCCACCTGGGCCTCCCCAAACTCTCAACCGTGTTTCCTCAACTCAGGGAGGCTCCCGGGCTCCTCCAAATTTTCTTCAGGAAGCTGGTGTATACGGCTTATTTTGTTTGCTTCTCCTCTTCCTATTTTTTTTTTTC